AGGGCAAACACGTTCAAGGTACGGAATTCTTTAAAGAAAACCAAAAGCATTTTTTACCAGTTTCTGTAACTTGCGGCATTTCACATTACAGGGATCAAAGAATGACACGAACGAAAAACCTCATTTTGTTCAGTTGGAAGAATCTGAATTTACAACCTGCAAACAAAGAAAGTGGCACATTTTCTTCACTTCTAAATGTTCTGAAGTAATTGTCCTCGTTACGTGCAAAAATAACGCCTTTAACTCGTATTCATCCATGTTTTACTAATGTACCTATTAAAATTTTAGGGCAATGAACCATTGCTCAAAATGTCGAGTTCCGATATTTTTTTATTATTATCTACATTAATTGTTCCTTTAAAGTATGCTAGGTCCCTCTTCTGGAACTAAGGCGTCTTTAACTCTGTACCGATTCTCTATTTGTTTGTTTCTTTGTTTACTTGCTTGTTTATAGCAAATTCTACTAAGGCTATCTTCTACTGTCCCTAATTTTGAACTGTCGACCCGAGGAAAGACAAACGGTTGGCAGCACTTGTTGCCAACTTATGGAATGCTTTTTAACAACGAACAGTGGAATTGACTATCACAACGCCTTCACGTTTTAGGCACCGAGTTTCGTTACCATATCCTAGCCACCAGGCCATATTGGTTCTCACTTTCTTTCATTTTATTATGAATAATTGCATCTACCTATGTACTAGGAGTATACAAATTATCAAGTGCATTCTTAACCATTTTTGGACTTACTCTGATTGTTTCACTTTCTTATATTTTCACCATTAGGTTCCAGACGTGTGATGACCCCTGCAGCTACAGAGTGGATTGTATTTAGAGAGCTTTGATGAGAAATGAATACCAGTCGTCAGCAGAAGTAATATTTGTAACTATAACGTTTCGCTGTATCAACTTTATCATACTATAATGAAGCCGTACCGCTAAAGGCTAAATGTATCAACTTTATCATACTATAATGAAGCCGTACCGCTAAACGCTAAATGTATCAATTTTATCATACTATAATGAGGCCGTACCGCTAAAAGCTAGACTACAGATGACATCGAGAACAGCCACTTAACTTGTGACGTCGAAAAGAGATGGAGAGACGTTTATTAGAAAGCTGAGTAGCGGAGTTTCAAGCTTATATGTAATCTATATAGAAAGAGCACAAAAATCTGTGTGTCTGTCTGTTTGTCCTTTATCTAACTACTCCTAGGTCACTTGACCAATCTCAACCAAACTTTGTGGGATGTTAGTTTGAAACAATGAGCATATTAATGGATGGTTAACAACCCTCTTCATTCTCATTATTGCTGCATAGATGACACCATGTCCTTACACAAAAACATATACAACATTCTATAACAGAACCTACACACAGTGTAGGGGAGGCCACACAAACGTCTTATATATCTCAGAGAGTGTACTAGCACTCTCTACGGAGGAGTGCAGTGGGAAAAAAATGGCCACGACAGTTGCAGTAATACATAAACTCATCTGAAGTTTCTACTTCAACAGCCACCATAACGTTGATATGAAGAGCCGTTTGTTGAGTTATACCCACTTCCTACTTTGACCTGTGACCTTTCAATTTCAGCTCGTATGGTACTTCTGCGGCCAACGACCGCAAAGCCACAAAACGCAAAGCCACACAAAGAGCTATCAGTGTTCTGCCCACTACGGGTATCGAAACCCGGTTTCTAGCGATATAAGTCCGCAGACACACCCCTGTGATACGGTGGGAAACTGTGGAAGGACATTAAAAGCTGGGTGTTAAAAAGCGGGTAACAGAAAGCACCCCTACCACTACTACTTTGGTCACTACCTCTTCGTACAAAGTCACCTTGACCATCGCACAGTGTATATCGTGTTTTAAGTATATACATATTGAATTAATAAAGCTTATACAAAACTTTTGGTGAGGTTATAATGAATCATGTTATAAATACATCGTGTGAAAGTTAGGAATTTTGTGTTAGTTATAATAGTATTCATCCCACATTATTTTCAGTTCATGACCTGCACAGGTACTCCAGCTTGTATATTACGAAACATAAGTTATGTTTTTATTTTTTGTTAAATTTTAGAACTAATGCTGGACAAAAAAAAAAAACACGCAATTTTACATTTTAACATAAAATAGTTTGATATAGGGTAATTTTTCTTCTCTAGCGTATTGGCCTCTGTATTTAGATACAGAGGCAACTTACTCAGCCGACAGTTTAGTACATATAAAGGTTACAAAATTTATGCCTTTATCTTATTTTACATTTACTAATCGTAATGTGGACAAAAGTGTATATATTTTTTCATTTGCTTTATAATATGATAAGTAGGTATTTGATATATATATATATATATTTCTGTGTTAATAAAGGTATTAATGAATAATAATGGCT